TACGTGATTGACTATGTAGCTCAGTGAGACACGAACAGCAAGAGTGGTGGCAACGGAAAAGATAGGAAACAGATGGCAAGTCGTACGATGTTATCTTGATTGGATGAGTAAATAAATAAGAACCTGCACAAGCTTTAAAAAAAAGTTTATCAAACACTCAACTAATTTATTTTACAGCTGTTTATTTTTACAATATAGCAGAAATAATTTTTTTTAAAAATATAGCAATACCAAACTAGTCATAAGTTGTGAAAAAATACCATATAACAAGCAAACAAAAAAACACAGTTAACCACCTGCTCATGCCTCTTCAATCAGTGATGGTACTTTTGTTTTGTCATCAATGAACTTACTTAGAAGTAACAGGTAATTCTTCATCATGGCAAGAGTTATATCTCGTCTGTTGTGTTCACCTACTTCCTGGCAAACCAGCATAAATCAACATGCAGACTTGTGGCCGGAAAAGACACAAAAAAATATCAGATTAATTGTCCAAAACACGCTATGAAAAACATGGACAAATACCAACATTTTTGCTATGATATCGTCCCTAAGCCTGACACCACCAGCGTCTACAGGCCAAAAATGTATCTGTAGACATCGAAATTTCGGTAAATAAATGTTGACCGATAAATCAAAGTGTCAACGCTCATGTATTGCATAAATTTTACACGTAGCATGTGACTCAACGAAAATTGAAATGAGTTGGAAAAGTCATCAAATAAGACACGTGTCAACACCTGGCAGAAACGACTTATTTCATCTGGGATATTATATTCAAAATTAGGCCTTGGAAAATTCTATAAATACAAGCCCATTTCATTCATTTGAGGGACCAATTCATATTACACCTTGAAGCTCTGAAGCTCTGAAACTCCGAAGCTCTTAAGCATCTAGGTTCCCGAAGAATCAAGAAAGCCTTCTTCGTTCTTCGTTCATCGTTCTTCCAAGATCAAGCCCCGACGGCCCCTTGGATCAACCATCCACCAATTCAAGATCAAGCCCCGACGGCCCTTGAAGAAAGCACCATCGTTCATCATCCGTTCATCCAAGATCAAGCCCCAACGACCCTTTGGATCAACAACGTCGACAAATCCACAAATCCAACCGTTCTTCAAGATCAAGCCCAAAACTCCTTGAAGATCCGTTCATCACTGTTCTTCAAGATCAAGCCCAAAAGCCCTTGGAGATCCGTTCATCACTGTTCTTCAAAGATCAAGCCCAAAAGCCCCTTTGAAGATCCGCTCAAATCCACCTTCAAGATCAAGTCCACGGCCCTTGAAGAACGTTCATCCTTAGATCAAGCCCAACGGCCCTTTGGATCAATCACATCGACAAATACACACCTTACGGAGATCGAATCAGAGGATCAAAATAGAGAGAGATTGTAACCCAAAATCATCAAACACAAATATTTGTTTGTGCGCGTTTGTTCTTGTCTCTTTCGTTTCAGGAATTTTCCTTGTTCACAAATTGGCACGCCCAGTGGGACAATCTCTGCCTCTCATCTCTTTCTCCGTTCAAGAAATTCAAGCACACTTCCAAAATTAATGGCATCAAGGAAGGCTCAAACTGTTCCCGCAACCGGTGCAAAGAACAAAAGCGTCCTCGTCGCAACTGGTGTCACTTTGGGCATCACGACTCGAAGCATGGCAAGAGCTACTTCTGCCGCCTCTTTCACCTCTGCATCAACTCTGCCAAGGGAACAAAAGCACCCAAGGCACGAGCCTTTGATCACCTTAGCCTCACTAAGGGCACCAAGGGGGGAAAGCCCAAGGAAACACTCCGAATCCATGCTCTCCGATGCCGATTCAAGCGACAGTTCAGCCATGCAAGTCATGACCATTGGAGCAACTTCAATCGATGAGCAGCTGGCTCAAATGAATGAAGCAATCGCAAGGCTAACCCGAACTGTGGAAGAAAAAGACTTGCAAATTGCAGCACTAGTCAACCGACTGGAGGCGCAGGACGGCGATAAACCCGACCCAGAAGATGATCCACTAAAGGGAGGAGCTGGCGGAGACGAAGAACCCCCGGTGAAGAAAATCGATGGGAAGCCGGAGCCAGACCAAGCAGCGGCACTCATGGGATCTCTTTCTATCCAGCAGCTGCAGGAGATGATCACCAACACCATCAAGGCACAGTACGAAGGGAGCTCACATACCTCCTTGTTCTACTCGAAGCCCTATTCCAAGAAGATTGATGCCCTAAAGATACCGAGGGGATATCAACCACCAAAGTTCATGCAATTTGATGGAAAGGGAAACCCGAAACAGCACGTTGCCCACTTCGTTGAAACTTGCAACAACGCAGGAACCGAAGGGGATTACCTCGCCAAGCAGTTTGTGCGCTCGCTGAAAGGAAACGCCTTTGAGTGGTACACAGACCTAGAGCCTGAGTCCATCAACAGCTGGGAGCAGTTAGAGCGGGAATTCCTCAACCGCTTCTATAGTACCCGCCGCACTGTGAGCATGCTAGAGAACTAACGAGCACAAAGCAGTGGAAGGACGAGCCAGTCATTGACTACATCAACAGATGGCGCACTCTAAGCCTCGACTGTAAAGACAGGCTCTCGGAAACCTCTTCAATCGAGATGTGCATCCAAGGCATGCAATGGGGTTTGCAATACATCCTTCAAGGCATTAAACCGCGGACCTTCGAGGAATTGGCCACTCGCGCCCATGACATGGAGTTGAGCATCGCCCATCATGGGAAGAAAGAACCGATCGCCGACTACAAGAACGACAAAGTTCTTGGGACAAAGGTGGAAAATGTTACATGGAAACCCACCAAGGAAGCGATGACGACGGTCAACACAGCTCCCGTCAAAATCTCCACACGAGGCAAGGCGATTCAAGCCGAAGGCTTTCGTGATCAAGAGATGCGTAGACGCACTTTGAAGGAGCTTGAGGAGAAAACTTATCCATTCCCCGACTCTGATGTGGTTGCCATGTTAGAAGACTTGCTGGAAAAGAAGGTGATCGGCTTGCCTGAGTGCAGACGGCCAGAAGAGATGAATCGTACCGACAGTCCAAGATACTGTAAATTCCACCGCTTCATCAGTCATCCGACAGAAAAGTGCTTCGTGCTGAAAGATCTCATCATGAAGCTGGCTCAGAAAGGAATCATCGAGCTAGATCTTGACGATGTGGTGAAGTCAAACTATACCACTTTCACTTCTGGCTCTTCCGACTCAAAGTTTTCACCTCAACCGCTGGGGGCATCCTCCAAGACAAGCAAAGTTGAAGGATGGACTCAAGTCACTCCTAAGAAATTGCACAAGAAGCATACGTCTCCTCCACATGTTCGCCAATCGGAAAGGGGGCAAAGCAGCTCTGGTCAACCTTCAAAGCAACGTGAACGTGTTGAAGATGATCAAATTTCGACACATAGATCGTCCATCCCCATCACGATGCGCGATTTCTTGCCCGAAGACTTCTTCAATCACGCGGTCAAAGCTCCTTGCTATGAAAATTGTGAGGAACGCCTCTCCCGGATTGCTTGACAAAATTCACAAATTCTCCTCGCCCGCACGAGTCTAAACTGCACGGCACCAAACGCTCCTTGCCTGCATGAGCTGAAACTGCAACACGGCACCAAATGCTCCTTGTCTGCACGAGTTGAAACTGCAAACGACACCAACGCTCCTTGCCTGCACGAGTTGAAACTGCAACACGTCACCAATGCTCCTGGTCTGCACGAGCATAAAAGGCAACACCAACGCTCCTTGTCTGCAAGAGTTGAAACTGCAAACGACACCAACACTCCTTGCCTGCATGAGTTAAAACTGCAAACGGCACAAAAAGAAAATACCAAAAATGTATTTGAACTACGTTTCGACTTGATCTCTTTGGAAGGGTACGTAGGCAGCTTGAATATTCAATTTCAAGTTCAGTCACATCAAATAAAAAATAATAATAATGTTTTATTAGAAAAAAAAAATATATATATATATACACATATGTTTTATGTATTTAAAAAGAAAAAAAAAAGAAAAAAAAGAAAAAAAAAAGTTCTTTTACACACACATATATATATATATGTATGTATGTATATCCATCAGCAGCAAGCCTCTCAAAGGGAGACCATCCAAGCCCAAGTAATAACCTCCAAGCCCAAATTCCTTCCCTCTTCCTGCAAGTTCTCGTTCTGTCCAGGCTCGTCTCTCCAAAGCTAGCAAGCCCAACCACAAATCCAGGCCCAAGCTCCATGCGCCTCCTCCTTCAATTCTCCCGTCTAATCCACCATCAAATCCTTCTCGGAGCTCGAGCCTATCATCCGTAAACTACAGGCCGAACACGGGCCCATCATCTCCCTCCGTTTCGGCTCCCGCTCCGCCGTCTTCATCGGCGACCGCTCCCTCGCCCACCAAGCCTTAATCCAGAACGGTGCCGTGTTCGCCGACCGCCCCCGGGCCTTGGCCACCAACAAGTACGTCAGCAGCACCCAGCAACATTCTTCTACGGTTGTTCACTACAGATGCCTCAAGGTCAGATCTGGAAAATAGGTCGGATCATACGATGGCAAAATTCTCAGGGTACAAGCAGCTGGGTGACACGTATTCAATACAGAGACAGCTTAAGCAATCCAGTTCTCTGGGCGAATTGGATCCGAAAGCTGCAGAAATTTGCAGAACCTGGAGGACAAGATCGATGTGTACCCATGGCAGTACCTGAACCTAGAGGACGTTTCAACTCCTCCCATCCAATACATCATCTCTAGCGTCAACAGCGGCAGCGACGCCTCTCTCTTTTCTCTCACTTTCGTCATTGATGAAAGACACAAGCTTTCGCTCTCTGTAAATTCCAGAGATACATGCTCGATGATGGGAAGGAGGACCTGAGGTCTTCAAGCTGATTCTTCACCAACACTTGCTTCTCAAAACGACGTCGTAAGCTTCTCAAAACGACGAATTCTCGTTGGTTAAAGTCATGGCCGAGTCTTCAAAGGAAGAGCTGCTTCAGCTCATCAAGCGCTTCGGGGCTTAACTCACTGTCAAGATGTCCAGTCTGTTCCCGATCTCCCTCCACAATCTGAATTCACGTTCTATTGGGGCAATTGCGGGCTTCGCTGTCGCAATAGTTTTCACATGGAGGCTGCTGAGACCACCGAGTGGACCTCAAAGAAGGCAACCCAAGCGGCAGGCACCTGCATCGAGTAGTTCTGGCATCAATTCAAATTCAAATGCAACATTGACAACTCCAGGAGTTTCATCTTCAGATGACTCAAGAACCCAAAACGTTGTTGATGAATTTTTTCAGCCAGTAAAGCCTACTTTGGGGCAAATAGTTCGGCAGAAACTGAGTGAAGTCCTCGCTCACTGACCCAGAAGGGCGGCTAGGCCAATGGGATCTCGCCAACAGGTCGGTGGCCTCCATCTGCAAGCTGGTCGGCGTTTCCTGCTGGAATGAGAAGGGGAATTGCCTCATCAGCCTCCAGCTCCCGTCGATGGAGCTCGTCGGAATGCTCCCGGAGTCTCTCAAGTTCTGCCACAGCCTCCAGAGTTTAGACCTGTCCGGTAACGCTCTCTCCGGTTCGATTCCTCCTCAAATCTGCACCTGGCTTCCTTACCTCGTAACACTGGATCTCTCCGGCAACGCTCTCTCCGGTTCCATCCCGCCGGAGATCGTCAATTGACGGGTCAGAAAAAGCGAAGCTTTGGTGATGGTGTTGGCGGTGGTGAAAGGAGTGAGGGAGCCTGAAGTCGAAGCAAGTTGTGAGGACAGTCGTGCTCCCTGAAGCTTGCAGGACAATGAAGTTCGTGGCGGGGCTTTTGACGACGATGTGGATTGACGGATGGTGGAGCTCGTGATGGGCAGAGATCTTCGGCGAGGCTCTCGTTGGGAGAGTAGGGTGTCTTGAGAGATTCCCTCGAGCTCGTCACTATGACCACCGTGATAGCAAAAAGCTTCAACGACCGCCGTCAAACGACTAGCCGGTCGTGAAGCTCGAAGCCCCATCTTCTCGGCCTCCTTACTCCGCTCCCTGCAAATTTCTCTACCCACCACCCAAATTTATACAAAAAAAATATATATTAAAAAAAAAAAAAAAAGAAAAAGGGGTGGTGGAGCAAAGCAAAGTGGTGTCACCACGTGAAAAAAAAAGAGGGGAGGTGCATCAGGCACCATGTGCAAAAGAAAAAAAAAATAATAAAATAATAAAATAATAATAAAAAATGAATAATATAATATAATAATATATATACATATATAAATGGATGGTGCATCTGGCACCATGTGCCAGCCAAAAAAAAAAAAAAAATGCATCGAGAGAAATAAAGTCCGTTTTTATTTATTTTTTCTGGAAATTTTACATAAATTTGCATTATACATACTTAAAAAAAAAAAAAAAAAAAAAATCAAATCAAATCAAATTTACAAGAGGGGATCTTAAGGACGATCAGATGCCGACTCACCACTCGGCAGAGCTCGAGAAATGAGAGGCGCCGGAGGTTGATTGTTGGAAGCCACACCACTCGGCGGAACTCCAGGAAGAAGAGGAGCCAAAGGTTGATCATTTGGAGCTTCATTACGCAGTACAGCCCCAGAAGACGAAGGCAAATGCTGCTGGAACAAACCCACAAACCTCTGATGATCAAGTAAAATCTGACCATCAGATTCCTGCATCTGGTCAATCTTCCTCTTCATGTTTGTCGCATAACTATGTGCGAGCTTATGCAACTGTTTGTTCTCCTGCTTGAGCCCTCTAATCTCCTGTTTGAGACTCATCACTTCAGCCGCCAATGATTCAACTTGACGGGTTCGAGCAAATAGGCGTTGGGCCATATTAGACACAGAACCTGCACACTGCACACTGAGAGCCAGAGAATCCTTAACAGCCAACTCATCAGACCGTTTGGAAAGTAGTCTGTTATCTCTGGGAGTGACAAGGTTCCGGGCCACCACCGCAGCGGTCATATCATTCTTCACCACTGAATCCCCAACGGTAAGAGGACCAGTGGGGGATATGAAGGATGGGCGCCATATGTTGTCTGGAGAAGAAGGGACTGCCTCTTCACCAAGATTCAAGTCAAAACGACAGTCGGAGGGTCCAGACATTTTCAAAGTATTGAAGAAAGAAGAGATCGGACAAATCAAGATCTTAGAAGTGCAAGAAGGGAGTTTTCACAAGCGAAAATTCAAGTGTGCTTTGAAACGAACAGCGTGCCTCTATAAAAAATCAGCACTCGATGGGATTTCAGAGATCGAAGAGGCAAGCTCAGAAATCGGAGAAGCATCTTGCTTTTCCAGACGTGTCGGCACCCGTCACACGCAAACTCAGCTTTGCGAAAATCACGGGCAATTTGTCGAAGCACCGATCCCAGATATCGAAGAGGCGCCAGTCTTTTTCAGCCACGTCATCACCCATCACACGCAAACTCAGCTTTGCGGAAATCACGGGTAATTTGTCGAAGCGCCGATCCCAGTTATCGAAGAGGCGCCATCCTTTTTTCAGCCGCGTCAACACCTGTCACATGCACACTCAGCTTGGCAAAAAAAAATCACGGGCAATTTGTCGAAGATTTTCGGTGAAGGAGAAGGCACGTGAAGTATACTGTTCAATCATCCAACGGTTGCCGACACGAGTGAAAGAATAGTACATCTACAGGTGTTAAAGAACTTCCTATAACTGTCCATCTTCACCCTCCATAGCAAGGCAGACATACAGAACCTTTCTTCATCTCTGAGAATGCCTTCCCAACGAAGCCTCTTGAGTTACCCAGTGTTCCTTATTCCTTGTTGTACCTCTGCAAGCCAATGACTCCAAAGCAAAAGTATCTCATATCACCAGGGTAGAAAGCAAGAGTATCTCATATCATGCGTTCTCCCTGTCCTTTCCTTTGTCCTTGTTCTTACCTACAAAGACAAGGATAAAGAAAACAATATGCCAGAACTTCCACTCAAACTCGGGTAAGGAACCGACTGCTTGGAACCCTTCCCTGATTGCCTACCTAGCACTGCTCTCGAGTACTCGCATTTCACTGCTGCTGTACTTTCAAAGAAGCTGCCACATCTGCCTGAAGAACAGATAAGGCAAGTGAAGATGATACCTTGCAGCATGTGGAGACAAGGTGCAGAAGGAACAAGCAGAGAAGAATGCGGTCTCCACGGTCAACTCAGCAGAAGGAGTCCGAACTGAGGAACTCGAGAAGCTGCCATATCTACCTGAAGAAACAAGCAGAGAAGAATGCGGCATGCACAGTCAACTCAGCAGAAAGAGTCTGAGATGAAGAACTCGAGAAGATGTCGCATCTGCCTGAGGACAATGAACTTGTTTTGACCCTCAAATTCTTGGGTCGACTTACTAGGCGTTGTGGGCTGCACGTGCCGATTCACCACCCTTGAATCGAATCCTTAAAGATCAAGTCACCAACTGGAAGAAAAGCCCATCAATCTTGAAGATCATACCGTTGACCAAACTGCTCAGGTGTGAATTAGAAAGATTGAACAGAGCAGCAAGTCGTCACCTTCACCTCGTGCCTGCTTGTCATGTGTTCAAGTCAACCTTCAAGGATCAAGCCCCAAAAGCCCTTGAAGAAGCTTCCAGCCAAATTCGAAATCAAGCCTCGACGGCCCTGGAAGAAATCACAAGTCCGATTCAAGATTAAGTGTCTACCACCCTTGAATCAAAACCTAGTTCAAGAATAAGCTGTGGAAAATCAACAATTGGAGGAATCTAGAAAATCCTTCAACCCAGTTCAAGATCAAAGCTGTGGAAAGTCAAACAAATCGCAACAAAAATACGTGTCGATTCACCCACTACCAAAGCCAAAGATCATCTACCACATGAAGCTCCTTGTGGTCCAATTTCAACCTTCAAGATCAAGCCTCGACGGCCTTGAAGAAATTTCAAACAACAATTCAAGATCAAGCCTCGACGGCCCTTGAAGAAATTTCAAACAACAATTCAAGATCAAGCCTCAACGGCCCTTGAAGAAATCTCAAGCCCAATTCAAGATCAAGCCTCAACGGCCCTTGAAGAAATCTCCAGCCCAATTCAAGATCAAGCCTCGACGGCCCTTGGATCGACATCTACAGTAAGGGACTTCAAAACGCATCTCCTACACGTGACAAGCACATGTATACGACGTGCCTTGAAGTGGGGGCATTTGTAGACATCGAAATTTCGGTAAATAAATGTTGACCGATAAATCAAAGTGTCAACGCTCATGTATTGCATAAATTTTACACGTAGCATGTGACTCAACGAAAATTGAAATGAGTTGGAAAAGTCATCAAATAAGACACGTGTCAACACCTGGCAGAAACGACTTATTTCATCTGGGATATTATATTCAAAATTAGGCCTTGGAAAATTCTATAAATACAAGCCCATTTCATTCATTTGAGGGACCAATTCATATTACACCTTGAAGCTCTGAAGCTCTGAAACTCCGAAGCTCTTAAGCATCTAGGTTCCCGAAGAATCAAGAAAGCCTTCTTCGTTCTTCGTTCATCGTTCTTCCAAGATCAAGCCCCGACGGCCCCTTGGATCAACCATCCACCAATTCAAGATCAAGCCCCGACGGCCCTTGAAGAAAGCACCATCGTTCATCATCCGTTTCATCCAAGATCAAGCCCCAACGACCCTTTGGATCAACAACGTCGACAAATCCACAAATCCAACCGTTCTTCAAGATCAAGCCCAAAACTCCTTGAAGATCCGTTCATCACTGTTCTTCAAGATCAAGCCCAAAAGCCCTTGGAGATCCGTTCATCACTGTTCTTCAAAGATCAAGCCCAAAAGCCCCTTTGAAGATCCGCTCAAATCCACCTTCAAGATCAAGTCCACGGCCCTTGAAGAACGTTCATCCTTAGATCAAGCCCAACGGCCCTTTGGATCAATCACATCGACAAATACACACCTTACGGAGATCGAATCAGAGGATCAAAATAGAGAGAGATTGTAACCCAAAATCATCAAACACAAATATTTGTTTGTGCGCGTTTGTTCTTGTCTCTTTCGTTTCAGGAATTTTCCTTGTTCACAGTATCATATCAGAACCAAGCCATATTTAGGCTGCAGAAAATCATATTAAAATAACACAGCACAAGGAAGAGATGTGTAGTTCAACCAAAGAAGGAAGACTGATGAACCAATTAAAACCGCACACAGGGAACAGAAAATCAAAAGGTGAGAAGAATTTTAAACGATAACAAGAAAAGCATGGATCACGCCATGATTTTGAAAAAAAAATACATAATAAAAAAAGTCAGCATTGGCTAGCTTATGTTGCTGATAAATAACGAAACTATATGCTTATCCAACATTAGAGGGTCTATGGGCGGTATGCATGGTAAATAGATGACAGAAGTATGGCTTACAAATTTAAATAGCATCCAACATTTTTATTAAGCAGGTTCCTTTAACTGCAAATCTACCTGGTAATCTCAAAACATCTTGTAAACTCCACTTGGGCAACGAAGCTGAGATAAGTTCAAATTAATTTGGCGTCGGCACGTCGAAGGAGTGGGATGGAAAGAGCCCAGAAGAAGAATAAGGCAGCGGAATTTTTTTAAAGAAAACTAATGAAAATAGCTTGAAAATTTTGAGTTTTAATGATAAGGAAAAAAAAATTGGTAAAGTGAATGGTAACAATATTGATATTTTAGTGTAAAAATGTGGTTTTCCGTTAAAGTTAACAGTACCAAGAGCTTTTCGTTAAAGTTTCTAATTTTTTAAAAAGTTTCTCTTTTGGGCCTATCCATGAACACTGTAATCTAAATAAAACTCTATTAAAACCAAACCAAGCCCAATGCTAAACCCGTTTTGCTTTATTTGGGACAAATATCATCCTTTGAACTTGATCCTTATTTTCCAAGTTCCCTACTGGGCATAACTCAAATTAATTAATGCCACTACTATCTAAATAATCAGGTATCATATCATCACGGTAGATTATTCCGTACATGTACAAAAAAAAAAACATTCTCATTCTAAATAAGTAAGCATGCTCCTAAATTAGTTATCGATTTCTCATTTATTTCTTCCTATTTACCTTGGAATTTCAATTTTTCAAATTAGATTTTCCAAGAAATTGACTCTTGTTTTCTCCTTGACAAAATTCTAAATTATATAAAACTCTAGTAAACAAGAGAATGAAAAAAGAAAATATGAGAGGAATTGACTCTACGAACCATTATGAGAGAATAAAATCAAAAAAATAAAAATACCAAGCCCAATCCGAACTGGACGGTGAAGCCCAATCGGAACTGGATGGTGAAGCCCAACCCGAAACCTATAAATACAAGGGAACCCAGAACCTCCGCTCCAAGTCGAACAAGTCGAACAATCGGAACTGGATGGTAAGCCAGCGCCACCGCAGCCATCGCCGCCGAATACTGAGCCTTGGCCTGGTGGTTGATTCGGACCCAACCTCTCTCTAATTTTTTTTTCTATTCAATTTTATTTATGATGCTGGATTGTTTTCTGTTTTTCTATATACAACATCATACATATATCTAAAATTAATTAAGGGAATTAATATTATTTCCATTTTTTCATGCTGGCTCAATTGTTCATAATTCAGGTGCTAATATTACAAAAGATAATACTTATATTAATCAGTAATCACTAAGAGCATGTTTGCAATTGAATATATTCTGGTATTGTTCTTTTAAGTCAATGTTTTAGGCAACCTTACCGTTGCTCAGCCTCTTTGTAGAGTGAGCAAGTTTAAGGACGTTCCCTGACCTTCGCAAAGCGGGGAGCCTTTTGGCTTGGGGTCGGCCTTTGTTCCTTTTTAAATGAATCCTAAAATGAAAAATCATTATGTACTCAAATAAAGATTTGAAGAATATCCGCTAATACTGGTTCCGAACCTGTCACAACAGATTTAAAGAATATCCTCTTTGTAGAGTGAGCAAGGTTAATTGACGGGTGATAACACTAAAACTAGTACATGGCCGTTGCTAAAAAATTTCTCCGGTTGGTCTGTAATCTTTAAGCGTGTCTCATATACTTAACCACCATCATTAATTTAGGACTCAACATGGTCGTTAATCTAAGCTAACTTTCAAATGAGCAAACGATGACAGGACACCAAGGGAACGCTGCAATGTATCTACCTGCATTGCAAATTTTCACTAAGATTACAAGTCCAATTATTTTTCCGGATGATGTTTGCGAACATATCTTGCTGTGCTCCTCTTGTCATTGACCAAGAGGAGACCAAGAATCTGGAAAGATAACCACAACTTAGCACAAACAAGATCCAAATTACGTGCAATGTATCCACCTGCATAGCATGTCTATGAAGCTGAATGTTGTGCAGAAGAACCAGGCCCTAGTTATATCGGGAAAAGACTGAAAGACCCATTGGCAACCATCTGAAAGAGTCCTTCCCAAAAAACCGAAAAAAAAAACCATCTGAGTGTTGCCCTTGCAGTCCGTCATGGGGTTGAACCCCGTCGGCTTCCTAATCTAACATCTAATCTAATAAACTTATCGTTAGACCCAAAAAAATAAAAAATAAAATAAAAACACTTTGTGATGCTCAAGGATGGTTTGCCAGTGCTTTCATAATATGCACAGCACTCCCCTCCACCCGCATAATTATAGGCTACAAACAAAAAGAAAGTTAAAAGATACCATGAACCAATAACATAACAAATATAAGAGCATAATAACGTACAAAAAAACTAGTAGTGGCTGGCTGTAATTCAAATATGAGAAATATACACCTCAAACAGGGAGGAAGACATGATGTTAGAATAACAACAAATCCTGGCATGCTCAAATAATGTCACGATCCAAAATGCTACAAGGTTCTACTTTGCATACATCCATGTGTAACAAACATGTATGGTTTTGTGTACCATTAAGTCCAATTATTTTTCCGGATGATGTTTGCGAATATATTTTGCTGTGCTCCGGTTGTCATTGAGGCCCAAATCAAATTTCTTCGGAGCCCCAAAGCCAATGTCGAAAGCCCAACTAAACCATCCGAAAGCTCGATACAACCGAGGGTGTTCGAACACTGTTCTGCTAGGTTGCCCTGAAACGAGAGTATATATGCAGATTTTGTCTCCCTAAAGAAGGGCTTTTAAGCTTCGCCTCCGCCTCTCTGGAAGCCATTCATTATCCAGAACCTTTCTTCCTCGTCTGCAAATCCATTTCCTGTTTTGCTTATTTAGCTAAGAAATCCCATCCCTCTCCCTTTTACCGATCAGAAAAAAGAAAACAAACAAACTTTTCTCCATCTTATTCTCTATGTCGATTTCGTGCACCGACTCCTCGACTGATTTAGACGATGAAGACAGGGAGCGTAACGACTTTTGTCTCACAAAATTTGGGATTTGGTGGCATCGGTAATTAAAGGTGAAATTTCACTTTTAAATGATAAATTTATGTTTAATTTATTTTTACAGATCTTATTTAGGAATAATTTTCAATTTTAAGTTGCTCTTCATTGTATTGTTCCCATCTGTTTCTGTTAAGATCATCTCCAACACACACTCTCTCTCGTTAATCACTCCTCTCTCTCTCAGAAACCCCAAATCCTCTGAGAAATCTAACACGACCGGCGGAGCAAGATCGTTAATCACTCCTTTCTCTCTCAGAACCCCATATCCTCTGAGAAATCTAACACGACCGCCGTCACATTCCTTGCTCCGCCGTCGGAATGCCTCCGGCAGGTCAAAACCCAAACCTTTTTTTACATTGTTTTGGATTATTAAACGGTTGAATTATTTTACGTGATATATGAGAATTTCGCTGTAATTTGTGAGTTGATGTTTTGTATTAGCTAGATCCTTCCTTTTTTTATAATTTCTTCACACTAATACTCTTTTTGTTTTGCCGGAAAATAGTTTTGTTTGAATTTATGAGTCAATTGTTTTCTCTAGGAAAATATGAAATTTCCAACTGAGATTTGTTCTGTATAATTTTTTTTCTTTCCTGTGCTGGGCGTCAAATAAAGTTTTCTAAAAACTAGTAATTTCTGAGAGAGCATGTGAGGTTTTAATTCATCCCTTTTTACATTGTTTTGTATTATTTTTATTTCTGGGTTTCACTGATTCCCTGTTCTGTTTTGGTCACAAGGTTTTAATCAGGAGAAGCCGAATGGCTCTGAAGTGTCATCATTGGTATAGCCACAGCCGTCCGCCTTCTATGGTAGCTGCTCAACCACAAGGTAAAAATAAGTTGCCAAAGTGGACATGATTGTTTGTTTTCTTTTATGTTCTTTTTCTCCATAATTAGGAGCACAAAAGTTTTTCACCCATAAATCCCTCCTTCCTCATTTGTGGAGCAGGTTTTTCATGCCATGAACATGTCACCATTAATATTGCTTACCGTTGGGAGAAATTTTATTTGTGTTGGTGGGGTTGATTCAAAGTTGACCGATTTCTTGACCGGAGATGTAACTAATTTTAATTATAACAAGTTCTATCAAATAAGTCGTCGAAACATATATATTACAGGGAGCATTTTTGTTCACCATAATGCTCACTGTACACCTAATCAATTGACATGTGTCATTTCACTTAATCTTGGTTAATTTTTTTTCAAAATTGAAAAACTAACATTTAATGTGAAAGTTAATTAGAGTTAAGTGAAATGACACGTGTCAATTGATTAGTTATACACTATAGTTTATGGTGATGAGAAAAATGCTCCCATATATTACAATGGCTAGATGCAAGAAAGCATTTGAGGATATGTGCCAAATGATAACATGCGGTAACTAAAAACTCTCAATTTTTTTTTTTTTTACTCAAAATTATATATATTGATTTTCAATTGGATGGTGATAGTTTTCAACAATACCTGAGGAGTCGCTCAGAGTGGAGTTAGCGGCTAATCTAGCCTATCATTTGATAGTTCCTATGGCACAGTGGTGGCCTTGTTTTGGGATGGGACAATACAAGTCCACATCCTCAAATGTTTCGAGTGATCGCAGGTGAATCATTTACGACGAGTGATAATGCTATGGCTCTTGGTATAGGAGGACAATAGTAAGTTTTAAGAACTTTGTTTTTGTAGTATTGTTTTTATTTTATTTTTAATAAACTATATTATCTATGGACTAAGCTTCATAATAGACAAACGATAACATAGTTGAAATTCATCTTGATAAGAATTGAACTTAAGACATTGGTATTGCTTTTGTATTTATAGATAGAAATTATTATTATTATTATTTTTGAGAATATAACGTACTAATTATATAGAAAATATTAGCATTTTTGTAAATATAAAATGCTAATTATTTTGTTGGTTAATATGTAGTATAAACCTACAGTATCTGACAGATTATTATCATGGAGAATTAGCACAAGTCTTCCAACATACAATGTTACTACTCAACCAAGCCTGCCTTTTAGATCGTTTTTGTGGTGGAGTTGTTAGAGGTAAAAATCATAATTTAAAATTTGTTAATTATTATTACCAAAAAAATAAAATAAATTGTAACTTTTTTCTTTTTAAATAAAAGTTGTGACTATATTTAATTTACTTTTTAATTGTAGTGGTACTGCAGAGAGATGAGCACTGCCACCATCGTGCATGGCTGAAGAAGCAGTCCTAATGGTTAATCGGTAGCTGGATTGGCTTAGCAAGTATTTTGGTAAACCATGAAACTTGTGTTAGCTTGGAAACTAGTAGGTGGTAGCTTTAAACATTGAAGCTAAACTTTGTTTGGTTGTTAATATTTACCACTTGATTACCCGTATCCGTGTGATGTATGATTCCTTGCTTGGATGTTGAATTTTAACGTTCGTGATCTGTAATGAAGAATTTGTTGAAAATTATGTATTATAATATTAATTTACAAGATTTTTAATTTTAATATGTGAATGAAAGTATGTGTGAATGGTTGCATTGTTCCGGATGCAAACATGATGCCAAGTAGTGAAGAACCAACGGTTTTGGTTTGAAATATTGCATATTTTCTGTTGGAATCACCTTAACATATAATTTGTGTAGGGCAACAAAGTTCGGAGAAACAAAGTAAAGCAATAATATAATTTCCATTGAGATCCTGTACTTATGTTTCTGGTAAATCAGTGAAATCACAGATAGAAGTCAATGGCATCAAAATTTACATCTGCGATACTTAATTTCGAACCCGAACAGAACAATCTGCAAAACCATTCTGCTAATGATCTCCATCATCAAGCGAGGCAGAGAAGCCGAAAAGAGCACTTCTTAATGCCTGAGAAACTTTGTTTTCAGCAGCAGCAGCATCACCATCACCATCTTCGCCATTTGCCTCGTCTGCTGTCGATCGTGGAGGAGGCGAAAAGTCTAGGCACAACCCTTGTACAACTTGTTCAAATGAAGCAGAGAGGTCTTGGGAGGTGAGCTGGTGGTACTCCACAACCTGGTGGAGGCATTGATTTTCTCTAACCAGGTTTGAATTTTCATTTGCTAGTCCTGACTTCTCAGCTAGCAGTGCCTCCAACTGAAGAGTCACCAGATCATCTTCCTCAGGCCTCACCTTTATCCAGCCAGTCTCAGAGCCCTTCGATTCTCCTCCTCCGGCAGAGCACAGCGCTCTTGCATAAAGCATAAATCCGACCTTATCGATTTGAGTTCCGGGCAAACGAAGCTGCTTTTGTTGCCAGTGAAATTGCAAGCTGTAGAGAGATAAGCACACAGTTAGCAATCAACTCAAAACCCATCAAAGATTTGAAACTGAACACGAGAGAAACCTACAAGTATTTTTGATAAAACCTTGTGACTTTCTGAAAAAACGTGAGTACATTTTCTACATCGAAATATCTTTTTGTGCCGCTGATACATGTCATTTTTGTATAGACATATTTTTAAAGCTTAAACTGACTGAAGCAAAAGAAGAAGAAAGTTAGAAGTCCGATCTTACATGAAATTAGAACTTGAACATATGACTTTTAGCTACAGAGAGGAGATTAAGAACAAATTACTAGCCTGACTTACGGCGATGTTGCACACAAAGGTTCCAAAACTGTTTAAGAATGGACGCATCTGGCAACCTTTACAGATTTGTTGAAGCAAAAACATAAACCACAACCCCGTTAGCAGAATACAAACCTTGAGCACAGCAAATATTTCATTAGACTAGAACTGAATTTTCCATTATTCAATGCAATCCGAACTATATACCTAGAATGAACTATATACCATATAACAAGCAACGAAAAAACACAGTTAAGCATCTGCTCATGTCTCTTCAGGAATATAGCTCAGTATTCATACGCACGATATATTCAATCAGTGATGGTACTTTTACTGTGTCATCCATGAACTTACATAGAAGTAACGGGTAATTCTTCATGATGGCAAGAGTTATATCTCGTCCGTTGTGTTCAAATACTTCCTGGCATATTCAGAAAAAGGGAATTTAGAATCAAGTCCTCTTTTGTACATATCATCCAAACCAGGATAAATCAACAGGTAGACTTGGGGCAGGAAAAGACACAAATAAACAGGATAGTAAACTTGAAGGAAAGCCAGACAAATATCAGATTCATTCTCCAAAACATGCTATGACAAACATGGACAAATACCAAGCAAGACGAAGATAACACAAAGGGACAAAAGATTAAAAAGGCGTGTACAAGTTACGCACTTTTTGAGCTTTAGTGTAGTATTGCTTCGGATTATCAGTGGCTGGAGCAATCCTCTCTCCTCAGCCTTTTTATGTTTGAAGATCACCACAAACATAAAAAGTGTAAAATGTAATTACTTGACAAATTGCATTCCCAAAAATCCAATACTCTAGTAAACGAGCCATTTAAATGTCCAACGAAAGCCCAATACTAACTGACATTTTATTATTGGGCATATTCATGGACACATTGGACAGGTGGGCTGCTGTATTCTTTGGTGTAGTTGGGGAAATTTTTCATTATGATCAGAATGCGGAAGGTACACCACGTGTTTTTATATAAGTGATGAAAATTTTTATTTTTTAAGTTATCAACTTTTTAACACATATATCCTACTATTTGTATAGTAACATTACTCGGCTGTAACCTTGCAATCTTGCTGCCCACTACCCTACTATCGACATAGGATTGCACCATCAGGATCAAATTTTGTCAGTCATGTTTCTCTCTCTCCTCTTTGTTTTTCTCTCTGCAAAATGAGAAATGAGGGTTTAAATTTTTGAGTAACCCATTTATATGGGAAGGCAATTAGTAATTGTAAGTTTAGAAAAAATCATATTTCTGTCCCATTGTTATGCATGGCGTGTGCATGATCTGTGCATATTCAAAAAATCTTGTAGATAAATATTATACTATTCAATTTCAATAAAAAGTCTTTCAAATGACACATGAAACGTATATTTATTTAAAAAAGAAAACATATTTGGTACATATATTTCTTCATGATACGTATTTGGTACGTTACTTTATATATCTTCTTGGTACGTATTTGATACATTTGTATTTCCTTTTCGTATGTATTTGGTACATTTATATATTTTTGGTACGTTTATATTTATTTTAAACAAACATATTTGGTATGTTACATTATATATCTTCTTGGTACGTATTTGATACGTTTATATATATTATTGGTACATTTATATTTATTTTCAACAAAAAAAAAAAAAGATCAAAGAACAAACTGAAAGATACAATGAAGAACAGATTTTTGCGTACTCCTAATCCTGGTGGGATATGAACTAATAAACAAGACATACACAAGTTACAATTCAATATAAGTCTCGAACTCCTTGTCCATACTGAACTAAATAGCAATAACAATATCACATCAAGATTATACTGCAGCAGCAAGCATAGTTGATTCAGGCTTCTTTGGTTTATCACAAACAACTCTGGCAATTTTTGCTCTTTGACTTCCTCCAACTTTTTTGCCATTTTTGCTTTTTTCTTTTTCTAATGTTCCAAAGCTAGGAGGGATTCCAACGTTCCAACGCCATTCCAAATAGAAATAAAACCTGAAAATTAATGGGATACATATCATCTTTATTTGCATTTTGGAAAACTAATGAGGTACATATCATCTTTATCTTTGAATTTCAGAAATAAAAAATTATGTCCCCCAAAAAATGGCCGAATAAAAAACCTTCTCCACAAATTAAAATTTGCAAATGATCATAGCTTTAGTAGGCAAAGAACGTAGTTTTTCTTTATGAATTAATAATTTAGAGCAATTATGTATTCACATAAACTACTAAAAGACTAAGAAGATGGATCAACTGTCACAGCCCGTTCCAAAATATTACATTCGTGGCTGTGAATGGATGAAATTGCCCTTAAGAAATACTAAGTATGTGAAGCTCAAGTTGATAATTATCTAGGTTCCTAAGTTTTGAAAATGAAATGGAATTTAATAAGGATGGAACTTAGATTTTTAGGTTAAAATTTTGTGGTTTGGAGTTGGGGATTGGAAAAGGACCACGTGGGATCCCCACACCCCTCAATCCTCTCCCTATTTTCTGCATGCTGTCTCTCTCTCTCTCTTCCCTCACGAAACTCTCAGTTCTCTCTCCCTCTCCTTCGAACTCACACGGACCACCACAAAACCACCCTAAATCTATACCAACGACGAATCTAAGACCACCATTGGAACCCTGAAGACTTCACGAGCACGATGGTATCCATTTCAGGTAAGTTCTACTTCGGGAAACCCTAGTTTTTAAGGTCCCGTGTTTATGTACTGTTCATGATCTTTTAAATGGTTACGTTTTAGGCTAAAACAAGATCACAGCGAGCTTTATAAAGTCCCAAGGAAGCTCGGAGTGCTTCGTTGGCATGATTTGGACGTCGGGATCACGAACTGTAAGTTTGGCCGATTTCTTGAATTTTTTGAAAAGTTTGATCCCGTTGTTTTTAGGCCTTAAAACCATTCCAACGTGATAGTAGGTGTTTAGGGCTTCAATTTGGTATAAGGTACGAAAAATTTGGACGAAAAACGAAGGAGAATAGTGAGTTTAAAGTTTTTCCAGTTTTCCGGCGACCGGAGTCCGGCGAAGGACCGCCGGAGAAGAAAGGAGAATATTCTGTTATATTTAACGGAATATTCCTAACGGCAGTAACGGAAAAAGGTTAAGTTAACGAAATATTCTGGAGTTTTAACGGAATATTCCTGACGGCGTCAATTGACACCGTCAGTGTGCACGGCACGTGGCCGCGCGTGGGGGCGCGTAGGTCCGTGCCACGTCAGGCGCGTGGGGGCGCGTGAGGCCTCCAAAAATTATTTTAAAAATATTGGGATGATCCTGAGGTTGTGTAGGTCACAGTGGTATATTCATATACCCAATTTGAGCAATATATGAGGAGTTATTAGCTAAGAGTGGGATTATGCGTTAATAACGTCAATTTGGTTACTTCTCGTATAGGCGAGGATTATACGGACGTTGGGCATGGCTAAGGGAGGCTCAGGGACCTTCGACACGTCAATGTATTCTGTGAGTGGGCAGTTTTGTTTTCCGTATACATATATACTTGCCGTTTTCCCAGAAATTGAAAATGCATGAAATTATGCTTTAAATGAAAATGTATAAAAGTATATGAGATATATTAGTTGAAATGCCATGCATAGAAGTATGCGAAAAGTATATAGAATTATATGAAAAACGTGAATCGAATTGCCATGCATGAAATGATATGAATTGATACATGATGCATATGTATGAATTGGTGCGGCGGACGCACAGGTGAGTATCAGGTGAATATTTAAATACTGTTATGATGATGTTGATATATATTGAGCTCAAATCATGCACCATGGTTGAGTGCTTATAGTATTCACTGCATCGCACGCTCGCCTTGGATCCAAGTAGATACTGGTCGCACAGTCCACGCGGAGTGGGTGCGACGGGCCAGTCGTAGAGTG